AATGAGGGAGGATTCTCCTTTGGAACGGGGGTTTTTTACTTTTGGCACGCCTCACAGCCACCTGGAGGGCTTGTTCAAACAGACTGTTGGTTCTCATCTGGAGAGTTTTTGATTTGGACTGGGGCTCAATAATGTGCGTCTCTAACAAGCCCCCAGATGCTAATACCGTTGTCCTGGGTCTACACTCTGAGAACCATTCATTGCTTTAGAGGGTCATGATGCTTTGTGTTTTACATTCTTACGGACCATTATTCCAAACATTTCTCTTTGACATCAGCTTGGGCTCATCTTCCCTAGCAAGGCTGCTTGAACTTCTAGTTTAGGGAGCCTCATCACTTTCCCTGGAGTGCCTACAGTATGCGTCTAACATGGTGCACAAGATCATCTTACTTCACTTGGCAAAAGCGGCACTTAGCACAGTGCCTGGGACATGCACAACCTCTGATAAGTATTTTTGGAACTGTTTTTTGAACTGCCTTGAATATTCTGGAATGACCAATGACTTGTAATTTTAAGGCCCACATCCTATTCCATTAATGGTCTCTTGCAGTCTTTGAATACACTGTAATTTTTCACAGCCCCCTGCTTCTCTGTGTGCAGTTTCCATTGCCTGATATTCCACTCCTCCTCTTTCTTCGTGGGGAAAGTCCTTCCTTATTCTTCAAGGCTCAACTGAAACATTTTGTCTTCCCTGAAGCCTGCTCTGCCTCCCTCAGAAAGTCTGCATCCCCTGCTCTACTTATGTAGCCCTCTGAATACCTCTCCTTTAGACTTCTTTTGAATTATATTGCAATTATTTGCTTACTTGTTAGACGCACTCACTCACTGTGAGCTTTTTGAGGTGGGGAGCAGAGTCTTAATTTACTGAGATTGTGCATGTAGCACAGTAGATACCATGAAAATGCTAATTTTCATTATTATTCCTTATATTCTTCATGTTTCCAGTGTCTAGCATATGGTAGGTACTTAATAACTCTGTTAGAAGAGTGGATGTGTTGAGAACTGTTGAATGGTTCTGGTAGTTTGTATAATCATGTCCCGGCTGTTGCATCTAGGGATGTTTAAAATTTCTTTTTTTCCTCTCCTTAAAATATTCAGTAAATGTGCTTTTCATGACTATGTTTTGTTTCCTCCCTGAGAACACTGAAATTATGGTATCTTCCAATCAGAGGCGTTAACTTCAGGGTTTTTTCCCTAGGCGTGAGCTTCAGCATTTTGGGGTGAAAGTCAGCATAGTTGAACCTGGCTACTTCAGAACAGAAATGACAGATCTGCAGAAGGCCTCAGAGATAGTGAAGCAAGTCTGGAAAGAAGTCCCTCCTCATATCAAGGAGACCTACGGACAGAAGTTTTTTGATGCCTGTGAGTTTTTCTTTTGAGGAGATCATGGAAAGTCTCGCATGAGAAGGGCAAAGAGGGTTGGTGGGGATTGATTGGCAGATCCTCTGAGAATAAAGCTCCTTAAACAGAGCCTTCCCAAGATAGGAGGGGCTCAGAAATGCCCACTGCCCTCATGGTTGACTTGGTGATGGCTGCTGCGGCTGGGGAAGAGACTATACAGGCAGCCTAGGGCCAGGGCCTGCCCTGCCTTGTCACCTGTGGGCCTGGCCGCCTAGCACAGGGAGGTATTACACGGTTAGAGGCATGGAGTCTCTGGGTCTTGAGAGGGATGTGCCTCTTCATTGTTTTGCCAGACTGGTATGGGAGGCCTGCTCAGGGAAAGCGCAGCCTGCAGTATCACCTACCCTTTTGGTAGCAGGGCCTGGCCACAAACTCCATGTCTCATTGTGAGGGGGCAGAGGGTGTATGTAGGTGGGCAGAGGTAAGTGAGTGGGGACCAGATTTGCAGGGCCCTGTTGACCATTCCCAGAGGCTGGACCTCATGTGCAGGCCAC